GTGATAATAAAAGCAATACTATAGTTTCAAGCACCATCATGCTATTGATCTAAACAAGAAAAAAACAACACGATAAAAAAAATGAAAATGTTGCCCACCCAAAGAAAATAATGGTGATCAATGAGAACAAAATTGGCCGATGATTTGCATTGAAACTACAAAATAAAACAAGTAAAATATTTCCTTGAATGCAAGTTTCCTATTGAGCAGCTACTTTCCCAAAACAAGTTAAATTGATCACAATAAATTTTTTCTTACAGAAAAAACAGGACAAATTCTTGTCAAGAAAAGCAATTAGCTTGGCATTCTGGCAGTGGTATTTTAAGTACAATGTACATGACTGTATAATTATATATTTTTTTCAAAATCAGACATCAAAATGAAGAGAACAGTGCATTCTACCCTCTCCCCTTAAAAGGTTACTTATGTCAATGTTGGCAAAAGATATAACTGTTTTTCAAGTCCAAACTCAATTTAAGATTTCCAAGGCAAACCAATGGAAGTGAACAATGAAAAAAATACAGATTTCACCATAAAGCTGCTCAATAGGAATCTTGTGAAAAGGAACGAGGCTTTCATGAGCAAATAAGTGGATTCTGCAAAATCAAATTCACTGTAATGATTATATCCTGCTTCCCACTGCCTTAGTGGTACACCAAAATGCCTGTACTTATGCCAAAAAAGTGTAACATCAATTTCTTTTAGAAACTGGAATTTTTTAAGGTAATTTTGAACAAAATGTCTGTTCATTTTTGTTTTGTCTCTACGTATGAAAACAAAACATAAACTATCAAACTTAATATTTTTAATTCATGAGAAACAGATTTTCCACTAGTTAATTAATTTGTAATTGGCAAAATTTCCCTACTCTAATATAATAAAAGAGATAATATAATTTGGTTTCAAAATGCATAATTCATGGCAAATGTGACAAAGTCTAAGAATACCCATAGAGAGAATTTGCAATCAAACCACTTATTTGCAAATGAATGACACCCACACAAAACATTGGTCAGTTCAATACTCTGTTTATATAGATACTAGTTACAAGTGCATCAAAGTGCTATGGGAATTCATGCCTGTTAAAGGTCTTCAAATTGCAACTACATAAATTTAAAGGTCAGTAATTGCTATTTTAATTAGCTGCATATCCTGGGCTTTTTACTTATTAATTGAGCAACTGAGTGATTGTTTGATTGATTGATTGATCGATTGATTGATTGATTGATTGATCATTTGATTGATCGTTTGATTGATTGATTGATTGAGTGAGTGAGTGAGTGATTGATTGAGTGATTGATTGATTGATTGATTGATTGATTGATTAATTGATTGGACTTGAAAAGTTCCCTTTACCTATGATTAAAAAAGAGACCTTTGAAACATACAGAAAGTGAATAAAGCTTGTTCCCAATTTACTCATTGACTAGAATAACAGCTGCAAAGGAGACTTCGAAACGAAGTGTGCTCATGTAACTAGGAAATAAGCAGAGAGCAACAAATTGGTATTCCATTGCAAAAAAAAATGTTTACCTGGGGTAATCAAAGAATTTTTCGCCTCAATCAACCTACTGCAATGTGTTGCCAATTTTGTTAAAGTGAGGAGTGAGGGAAACCGGAGTACCTAGAGAAAAACCCTCTGCACAAGGTGCATTGTGCCATCTCTGCTACTGGTAATATCTCATATACCTTACTATAATTATGTATAATTCAACTTATGCAAGTTCTTGCTCATCAAAGGCTTGCTTTCGTCCACTGTCCTTGATTCCCAGCTGCCAGTCGTCATTCCTCAGTCCTGTCCTTGCTCCTTGATCCTGACTGTCCTGAGTCCTGGGTCCTCTGTCCTGGGTCCTCTGTCCTGGGTCCACAGTCCTTGATCCTGTGCTCTACATGTATGTCCCTAGCGACTTGCCTGCAAATCCAATCTGTAACTAGTAAGTATTTTGTACATGACTTTTGCTAAACTTGCATAAAAAGAATGTGCAAATATTTTCTCTTGAAATTTTGCTTTAGAATTTCACAGCCACCTAAAGGGTCACCCAGATATTTCAACGCCAAGGAAAAATAATTCCTTCAGCAATCTATCAATGTTTTTGCAGCAGAATTTTAGCCTTGAGACTGCAGGCAATAATGTTCCTTGATGGGATAAATGATTCTGAACCAGACATTAACTCTGAAGCCAGATGCAACAAATTCTGAATCATTCCAAGAAATAATATTGACCCAGGAATAAATAAGCTTGAAATGAGAAACTTAAAATGCTCTGAACGGGGGAAGGGAGGGGGAGGCATATCAATGAAATGAAGACTCCACTCTGCTCATTAATCTCCTTGTTATGGCAATATAAAAATAAATAGTTTTCATATACATTACTTGCCAAAAATTTTGGAAGACTTTAATTTCAGATGAAAAAGTGTCCAAAATTAAAACCATCCAAAATTTGTAAACTGTGCCAACAATTTTAAGCGTCCTAAATATCAACAGTACAGTATAAAGATCATACTTTCTTCTCAGATCTTGGACAAAACCATTACATGCATGATGAAGCTAGAACGTGAATTAGGATTTGCCTGCTCTTTTTTTTAATGGAAAGGAAAATTTTTGTTTCTCTTAAGAGGGCTTAAATGCAGATAAATTCCATTTATCTTTTTTCCAAAAAAAATTTCCGAAATTTTAACATCCAAAGTTTTTGGCAAGTAATGTACCTTTGTTAATCATTAAAACAAAATTAATGCTTATCACAAACATATGATCACTGTTGCGTATAATTTTCCAAATAATGGATGACACCTCCTAGGGATGAGTTACAGTGTATGTTCAATATCCAAACTTCCATATTAAAAACTCAACAAAACCTTCCTCTTGGAATGACATTTGACACAGCAAAACACTGTCAATTAAGTCATAAACCTGATGAAAACAAAAAATATAATTACATACTAACCATGCCAGCATACAGTGCGAACTAAATCTTCCATTTGGTCCAGTCTGTTGGTGTGTGTGTCCTCATCTTGTCAGGATACAGATCCTAAAAGATGTACATATAAACTGGCATAAGTTGTAGTTCACTAGTCAGTTAATCACAGTTATGACAATGTACATGTACATGTAGCTTGCACATAACATGTAGAAGCCAATGCTGCCCAGGGATTTTACTCCTCAATGCCATTGCCCAAATGACATGATCCTGGTTCATGACTCACTGTAACTCTTTCCACCCAGGTGTAGAAAACAGGTTAAACATAGTGGTTAGACTACCCAGGAAATTTAGGGAGTAACCTTGAATGGATTTCATACAATCATGTTCAAGTGACATCTCACCCAGAAGGGAGGCCTGGGGGAGACATTAAAAAATTATACTAACCATGTGCATCTAGAGCATGAACTTAATTCTCCGTTTAGTTCAGTCTGCCTTTAGTTAATAATAATTATTGGTCTGTTCTCATTCTGGCATGGATATTCATGACACATGATCTTGCAGGCATACAGATCCTTAAAGATAAAGACAAGTTTTAGCTCACTAGTAAATCAACCACAATTATTGCAAATATGACCCTCCCATTATGTCTCAAGTTTTCATCATTGTCATTAACTATTAACTCTCACCAGGGGAGAGATTCTCAGGTTTCATAATAGCTGCACACTAGAACAGAAAAGAGACAAGGGATGGAACTTCATGGAGTGTTTGACTACAGTTGAGGTGACCAGCCTCTGCAGGTCCTCGCACGGATATGTGCAAGTAAACACAAGACAACAGACAGCGGCCCGGCTTTGACTGCAATTTCCGCACCAAGTTTCTCAAATCCTTCAGCAACAGAACCAGGCAATTTCAACGTTGTTTACTGATGAGCTGACTTACAATTTTAATTCTTCTATTTCGTTTTTTGCTCAGTAGATTTCCATATTTTAGCCACAGAAACTCTATGTTTTCACGGCTCCTGGCCACGGTTATCAAAAAGTAAATCAGTGAACCAAATAGTGAATACTTTTCCATTTAGCCATTGGAACTTGGTTTCTTTGAAGAATTATACCTAGTTCAAGATTTATCTCGTGCGAAGACCAGGTAGACTGTGTGGTGTGTTCTGTTTCATATTTTCTGATGAACGCAGCTGTCAAAGGTAAACAAAAGAGTCTGTCAAGAGAAGAATAGGATCGCTTTGACGAAGCACATGCCCAAAAATTTAAAAGCGCTTCTGGTCAAGTGTAGTCATAGATCAAATGAAAAGCTGCATCTAAAAACAACTTCAAAATGAACTGAAAAAAAGGCGCCCAAACAAACAAATCCAACTTCACCTGAATATTGACTGTTTGATCAGTCAAGATGTGAAATTCTGGCCGATTTTGTTCAGCAACAAGAGAATTAGGCACCAAAATAATAACTGGTCTCATTTTAGTTTTATCCCTTGTCTCTTTTCTCCTTTCTCTTCCCCGATGAGAGTTACTAGTTAATGAAGATAATGAAAACTCCAAACATAATTGGAGCGTCACATTTACAAAGCGGCAGACAAGGTGACATTTGAAATGTAAACCACCTCGCTTCTATTCATATCCCTTCTAAATGGCTCAAAAAGACACAGGAACAGGGGGGGAGGGGTATTCCCAGAAAAGTTGGGTGGGGTGTGTGGCCCATTTCCCAAAACCCTTACCCTATTTATGACCAAAATCTACAATCTTTGCTACCCTAATTATGACCTGGCCAAAAATCCGATACCCTGTTTATGACCATTGCTGCTGGCACAGTTGCCCTAAACATACATGACTTGTAAGTTATGAAGGGCTTTTGGTGACGGTCTTATTGACAATGATGAAAAAGTAGCTCTTTCTAAGAAACATACCCAATTCAAGTCTAGAGTGCTAAAACCATACCCTATTTAAGACCAAAATGGCCAAAATTGATACCCTATATTTATGACCAAAACAGCTGGAAAACTCTACCCTTTGGGGCTGCACATACCTATATAGCCCATATAAGGGAGTACCCCCTTCCCCCTCCAGGACAGGAATACACAGGTAAATGACAGATTTATTTTAAATGATTATGTTATTGCTGATACAGTGTTCGGGTCTCCTGTGGTAGACTGTGGAAACTGTGGATGAGTGTATGACAGCTTGTGTTATTTTGTGCGTGCTCTTCGTGTTTTGAGAAGAAAGTTTAGGAAAGAATCACACCTTCTCTGTTTATCCCAGATACAAAGATGTCAATCGTCTTCAGAACGGGTTGGTCTACGAATCACATGTATATTGATTGAAAGCCTGCCAAATGAGCAAATTTCACACTCGTTTCCAATAATTTGTGATCAGGATTGTTTTTAACATACAATACAGTATAACTTGCAAGCACAGTACATGTAACTACAACATAGACACTCCAAAAGCGTTTACTCAGGCTTGGTACTGCAATATCAAATCATACCTTACAGGTAAGCTTATTGAACACAATAAAAACAAATATAAGAATCAGCCAAGGACATCTTAACACAAGAGTTACAGACTGTATGCTTAGATATTTGCTATTCAAGCACAGACGTCCCAAACTCACGATTCGAGGAATCAATCAAATATTAATGATTTATGTATGCGTATTGAGTGAGATGTTACTGCCTTAAGTGCGCGGTGTTGTGTCACACACTGGGCCGTTGAGAATTTGAGCACACTACAAGGCAGTGTATGGAAGTTAAAGTAACGAAGTATAAAATCGCGCAATGAAATAAAATGTTACTTTTTTGGAATAAAATTAAGAAAATGTACTCACCTTTCCTGGTTTCTGTTGTCCATTTGGCCTATTTCGTCGTTTTTAAGGGGTTTTCAGGTGTTTGTTGTAGCTTTCCCCCACGATTTTATCCTTCATTATTTTAAATTCCATACAATGCCTTGTAGAGCGCTCAAATTCTCAACGGCCCAATGTCTAACACAACACCGTGCACTTAAGGCAGTCACGTCTCACTCGATACGCGTACATAAATCACTAATATTTGATCAATTCCTCGAATCGTGAGTTTGGGACGTCTGTGATTCAAGTTGCTTTGTTGAATTTCCTCTTAATCCAATTGCATGTTGTTTGCCTCATCTTTGAAGATGTGTTTGCGATGATTCTTGATTTTTTTCAACATTTGAGGTGTTTGTCTCAGCATGTTTGAACTTGTACTTGGCTCATTTGTTATCTCGTGAGAACCACTGATTCTGCTTGTGTTGATGCATTGCTGCAGGGAATTACTTACAAACATGTACAAAAGTAGTTGAGACACTCCTTGAAAAAAACCTGTTTCGTTAAACACGTGAGTTTTTCAATCTGCAATTTTCACATTTCGACCCCCTCTCCCCTTTTCAATGTTGTAACGACGTGACAGTGTCCAAGGAGCATATTTCAACATTGAAAAGGGGGAGAGGGGGGTTTGGCTATTGACGAAAAAGATGTTTTTTTTTTCAATTACAGAAGGACACCGATAGAATGCATTTGTTTTGCTCAAATGTGTCAACACTTTTGTCCAGGATTGTCTGAAATTACCTTTCAGCAAAAATAAATAGAAATTGTACATGTACCATAATTATATGTGTCGAAAATACTGAAATATCATAAACATTGCAATAGAAACTGGCTAGTTGTAGTTTAGGTCAGGATTTGGAGGCTTAAGAGCAGTGCAGAATAGTTTTTTGCCGGCTCGTTTCCAGTCTATATGCCTTCAGAGCGGCCGCTCTTGTGCTCTACAATATTTAGTGGTCTCGCTAAGCACAAATACAGTCCACACATGTTAGAAAACAACAAATCGTGTTTGTAAGATAATACAGAAAGTGCAGACCCAAAGGGTGCATTCCTTTGGGGTGTTCTGGATTAGGATCAGTGATCCAAGATCACTCGGATCATGGTGCATCAAAGGAACCGACGAATCCACTCTGGCCATGGATTCATCGCTTCCTTTGATAAACTATGATCCAAGTGATTGTTATGTAAAATCACACTGCAAAATCACTTGGTTGTGGAATGTCATTCTCTTGATTGGTTGGTAATTCTTCTTTTTTAGGTGCTCTCTTTCTCTCCTGCATTCCTTTGTGTTAGACTAGAGTAAGAAACTAGTGAGACAATCTCAGATAGTGCAGAATGCAATTGATAGCTCTTGCACTGTAGTCCCATAAGTACTCACTCCAGCTCAGTTCACTTCCGGTTTGTACATGTATCTACCTTGGTAGTCAGTTAGGGCTTTTCCCCTTAGCAGTGTGTATGTTTCAAGGTTGTATTTTCATTCAAGGTCCAAAAACTTTGTACAAATTACTGTCTGTCACGGCAGGTTTTAAATTTTACTCTGGTGTTTTATGATGATTTTCCTTCATTTTAAATTCAATAATACGTTGAACAGACGTGACAATTTAACTCTTCGCGCCAACTTTGTAACTCAATACTTTTGTTTTCCTTGCAAAGGTATGTAACATGAAACTCTTGTTTTCTCCAAAATACACATAAATGAAAGAAAGTTAAATTTCTGACGAAGAAATGGAAGAGAAACAATTTTGAATTTTCTTGAAACGCAAATGTTCTTAATACCAATGAACAAGAACTAATTTAATTATCAGATAGTTGTGGAATACTTTTTCTTTTTCTGTTGCCACCTTTGTTGTTAACAATAAACAATTCAAAATTAATACACAACAACATTGACAGATACAACTGAGAAACATTTCAACAAGAAGTATTGAAGGTAAACAGTGCTACTTGGCTGACATTATCCTGTGTCGGTGAATGAGTCTCCTCAAAGACTGATTAAATTAATTTGTGCTTTCATTAAGTGCCACTGAGTCTGCAATAATAATTATTTGAGCACTTTCCTAGTTTCTTTTGTCACAAACTTACAATTTGCAGAATATTAAAGCCACTAAATTGGGAACTTTTTGGTCTCTCTTACAGATGCAATTATGGCAAGAAATAAACTAGCCACTAAGGAGAAGCTTTACATTTTCCTTCATTATTTACACCCTGACAAACATACTATTGCAGTTTGAAGACAGCAGATGATATTTTTTGAACCGACCTGTGGGTAATTCTAAAAGATACATTTCATTTTTACCCTAAAAAGGGACAAGTGGCCCTACCTTACATATAAAAATAGGTCCGCAATGCGAACTTGTGTGGGATTTCAGTCAAATAAGAGTTGATGCACT